CAATTCAATCTTGTCAAACATTATTACACAGTCATAAGACACTTCACTTAGAATAATTATCTGTTGTGCATTGCTAGAATGTTTAAACTGACTTGCTTATTTCAATTATATATTAGTTGCTATTCAAAAGTTTTTCAGTTTATAACATATATTTTACAAGTTGTGGAGTTTGTTTTGGACAATGAGGTATAAAATTGACTTCTGAACGCTTTCGAGAATGTTTTGAATAATAGAAACACGTATATTGTCTCACTAGAAGAATATTCTATTCAACTATTTTATATTTGAGTGTGTATCCATGCCTGATGACTATAGATACTTAGTAATACTTCAGCGAGTTTGAGTTGGCTTACTCACCTTCTTCAATTCTCATCTCTTTGCTTGTACTCTTTTCATTCTCATATCTGTCTGTTTAGATGGACGCATGAAATAAACTCATCCGCCAAACCGTATTTGATTTCTCATTACTGCTATCGCACAAACGGGGTCTACCTAAGTATGATATTCAAAAATGGAAAGGAATATTTACTTCATCGCATACCCGATCATCCGTCTAAACTGGAGTCAAATCGGCATACCAGTTTAGAAGCGACATATGTTTCGCATTTATCTTTAGAAACTACTAAATTCACAGATATACGGATGGTGATAAATTCTTCTATCACTACTGTATGGTCCCCATTCAAGAGCTAATTTCGTTGAGAGCCTGCTAATAAGTCGAAATTCTTTAAGAAATCGATGTCCTCTATGACGAACTGCCAGCGAAATGAGGTATTCCAACCGAAATTCAAGGTTAACTTACGCTTCCTATATGTTCCTGTCAAATTTATTTGCTGCCTTAAGCGTTAGCGCAGTACTAATATTTCGTCTTTCATCGCTTACGGAAGGCACGAGGTGTATTTCCACTCTTGTGTTCCGTTACATTTAAACCCCTCACTCTAACAATCTTTAAACCATTTAATGGCCTATTCTTCTCATTCTGGTATTTTCTCCCTCAATTTCACAATGATCAGCTTGTGTTTATTTGAACCTTTATTTGATTTGAAATCACGACTCGATCAATGTTCAGCTACGATTAGAAAACTTAGAGCACGGGAATGCCGTTTCACCTTACAGCAGTGCGCATCCATGAGTTCAGCTAGTCGCAGGATTTGAACCCAGGACCTTCAGATGAGCTTCGTGAAGAATTCATCAAAAGCAACTGATTGTTTGAAATATATTAGTAAGTTTTACTCAGTTCTTAATAAATTACAAGTTATCAATTAGTATGATTTAAATTTTGTCCAAAAACGAAAATTCACTTGTCTTTAATCTGATTCGTTCGAATATATTACATGCTTTTGCGAAAAAAAACGTTGATTAAACAGTATTTTAAAGAATATAGTATAATGATATACAAAACACGATGACTCTATTTGTAAATGAATTCAGTAATGATAAATAAATGACTTAGTAACATAAGTAAACGTTGAAAGTTAATGGTAAGAGCTAATATTTATTCATTGGTCATTTTAAATCAGATAAACTTCGTTATTTTCCTCTTCAATGAATTAGAAAGTTCCAACATTTTTGGGTGGCGCATGTTTATTCTGTCGTATAGAATCTTTGTTAGTGCAGCTCAAGTGAAAACCGGTGTCAAACAACATTACTTACTGTCACCCTTTCCTTTCTTCTGACGGTCGACTAAATTATGAAGACGCAACCATCTAAAAAGTATGAAATACAGTGGAGAGCTAGCATGCAGCTGAACAGTTTGGACTTTGCAGATGACTTAGCTCTTTTATCCCACACAAAACAATGAAGGTAAGAGACTACAAATGTAACGGAGGCGTCTGCAGCAAATGCAGGTGAAGACGGACAGTGTAGCAGCCGCCTCTGCAGCAGTTGGACTCAACGTACACAAGTAATAGAGCAGGATTCTCCGAAACAACACAGCATTCGCCAACCAAATAACACTTCACAGAGAAGCTTTGGAAGATGCAGAAACCTTTACATATCTGACCGACATCAGTGATAAATAAGGTGGATCTAACACAGATGTGAAGACATGGATTCAGAAAGCGAGGCCAGTATTTCTACAATTGAGGAACATATGGAACTTAAAACAAACATCTGTCAGTGAACATCGAAGTAACAATTTACAATACAAATGTCAAGAAAGTTCTACTGTATTGGGCGGAAACTTGGAGAAATACCAAAGACATTATCCAGAAGTTACAAGTGATGATTAACAGTCGTCTACGCAAGATACTCCTCATCTGTCTGTAAGACACCATCAGTAAAAACAACCTACTGTTGGAGAGAACAAATAAAATTCCATCGGAGGAAGAAATCAGGAAGAAGCGGTACAAGTGGATAGGATAGACAATACGGAAAGCAGCCAAGCCCTCACTTGAACTCCTCAAAGCCAAAGGAAAAGAGCACGATCAAAGAACACACTTCACCGGGAATCACAGACAGCAATGAAAAGAATGAGTAGCAATCGAGTAAGACTGGAAAGGAAGGCCCAGGCCAGAGTAAGAGTTAGAGAATGCTGGTCGATGGCCTAAGCTCTGTCAGCAGAGTAAGTTAATTCATTAGGCTTTATTGTCATATTCATATGCACATATGAAACTATTAAATCAGTTAAGATATATATTATGAATGGTAAGCGATGAACACAGATACAGATTACATGAATAGATTTGGTAAGTAATAAATACAAACTGTTAATTTGATGACAAGTGTAGTGGTTGTGATAAAGAATAATAAAGGTTTTGAATAAATGTTTCATAATGATAAGCACCCCAACAATTTGAGAAAAATAAATACTGAAATAACCTTCATTAAAAAGTTATATAATGATAAGTGTCAAGGTAATTGGAAAGTGAATATTTAAATTCTTATTCGCTTCTAATACCTCCAAAGTAAATCCACACGGCAATTTGAGTATAAGATAAAAGGCGCGAACTACAGAAAAACCACTCTACCTTATGGTTATAATTTATCAAACTACGCATGACCTTGGGCTTCTGAACATTCAGAAAGCATACTGAATATCGCAGCGGTATGGCTAATTGTCTAATTGAAATCGTGGCAAGTGATACTGCATTTTCAGTTCAGTGCTGATTGGATGAAACATTGACAACTTGTCCAATTAATTGGCAAATCAAGAAATAACTATTGAGTTCCTTATTGTCAATGGTTCTTTAACAAAACAATAATTTATAGATACTTAGATTCCTATGATTAAAGTCTGTAGTGTGTGCACTTTCATATCGAGCCTACAGGGCTTATTTGAGTTTCTGGACGATTTGATCAATACATTATTCTCGAGTTATTCACTGGTCTTTCGACCCTGTCAGTCATTCGCTATGTAGGTCGTTTTAATTCGAGTGTGTGTGCATACTTACTTCGCGTATTACATGTCTAGCTCTAAATACTAAGTCATGCCTCATCGTATTAAGTTGGCTCGCTCGCCTTCTTCACTTCGCTTTGGTTGTCTGTCTGCAAGAGTGATTGCATGCAATAAACTCATCTAACTGAATCTGTATTTGGCTCCTTACTACCGCCGTCGCAAGAATGGAGTTTGCTCATGTATACGGAAACGGAAAGAGAAATTTATTTCATAGCATATTTAATTGTTCATAAATATCAGAGTCAGATCGCTGGTCACTAAAGTGGTGAGCTTTAATTAGCATTCAACGCAGCCACCAGCAGTCATATTAGTTTAATTCAATATACATATTGATGGCTCGATAGTTCCAAATGATACTATTGATAATAAGGAGAATAAAGAAACGATTTGCAGTCGATTCATTGATGGCATTATTCGACGATTAAAACAAACATTACAGTTTGTGGTGTGAGCTACTTATAAGTAGTATATGACGTGAGTGTCAACGTAATGTCTGGCAGCAGAAGATGGGGGAAGATCAAGAAAGGAAGAGTTAGAAGAACACAATGGAATTTGTATGAAACGCATGAATAGTGACAATGGATTGATGTTTTGCAACAGGAACAGTCTAGTTCGATAGGATGGACTGATAATTTGCAAATGAACGATTTACGATATGGTTTTCCAATTTTACTGAGTAACTCTGTAATTTTCGTTAAATACAATTCGGTTGCCCCACCTGTGATCATTACAAGTTTAGTTGTATTTAACTCTCTTTGAAGTGTTTATTCTAGACATGATTATTTCTTCAGGACACACACACTGAGGAAATCACCCAACTGCGCCACAAGACAAGCCTTCACTTGGAACCATCAAGGTCAAAAGAAAAAAGGAAGACCAATGAACACATTAAGTCGAGAAACAGAGATAGACATGAGAAGAATGAACATCAATTGGATAGAACTAGAAACGAAGGCCCAATACAGAGTAAGGTTGGAGAACGCTGGTCGGCGGCGTAAGTAAGTAAGTAAAAAAAGACAATAATCTTAAGTGAATCCATGTTTCCTAATAAAACTATTTCTTTCATAATCAGGTTAACACTTGTTTTCTACTACAACAGTTTCATCATAGAGTTGTGGAGATTGTGTTGAGTTTTATTGAGATTAAAAATCTATCACTAGTTAGACTACCATTAGAAATCTGGAAGCCGCGACTAGTGGAGTTCAGTGTGGTTAGGTGTGAGGCAGCTGCTTATGGAAGACAAAGTGTAAAGTGGTGCAATATGGTAGATTGATTGAAGTTGGCTAATAACACCGTCAGATTCCTGCTCCGTAGTCTGGAGGTTAGTTAACCGATCGCACTCAAGATCGAAGGCCCTGGGTTCGATTTTCATCAGCGTAAGTCGTGGATGCTCACTGTTGATAAGTATCATACTATAGGACGAAACGACCATCCAGCGACTACTTCCAGGTTTCCAAAAGATGGTCGGTCTACTAATGATCGATTCATCACTACGATATTTTTATAGTCACCATTTAATGTGAAATACACAACAGAAAAGATATGTAAAGATAAAAGCCCTGTAAATAAATTCCTCTCTCTCTCTCTCTCAAACATGTACATGTACAACATACACTCGACATAATTTTATAATCATGATATTTATTTATTGAGCGTACATGAAGAAAAAATAAAGCAAAATACACATAACTACAATTTTAAGCTGAACACATATTTATATGCATTAACTTATAAAACGCTCGCGCGCGCGCACACACACACACATACACAGTAAACAAATCAATGTACAAAATAGCGAATCAAAGTTCTGTGCTTGTAACCAGTTGCATAAAATCATCGGAGAAAAATAGGGAGGGGCGAGAAGGAGAAAACAGTTTACAATGAGAGAGAACCAATAAAAACGTAATTTGTAATTTTTTAATAAAATAAAAAAGTAGGCAAAAAAAATGCTTAAAGTTTGTTTGTTTTTCTTCAGTTGACATTGTTTTTTGGCAGTGTTCCATTGAAGTGGTGACTATTACAAAATTTTGATGTGTACAACGGAGGCGAGCGGCGGGCGGGGGGTTGGGACTGGGCGAATGCAGCAAAAAATACGCTGTCATCGGGGAGAACGCGAACAAACAAATCAGTTTTTGAATCAAGATAGATAGAGAGAGAGAGAATAAGGATTGTGGGATGTAATATTTATTATTTTACACCAACAACAAACAAAGAAGCAAACAGAACAGAACAGACATTGATTGCAAAATAGTTGTGTTTATTTTGTAAACTGTGTGTATGTGAACAGGGAATGAGGAGTGTATATATATATATATATATATATATATAGTGTACTATCCACAATGAATAATGGTTATCGACAAAATTTCAATGAATACATATGAGCAGTAGTGTGTGTGTGTGTGTGTGTTCAATCGACGATATGTGCATCTTTAGCTAAAGAATAAAATATTGAATTTTTATTTTGTAATAAACTTTTTGGACTATCTATTTCTTTTAATTGACCATCTTGAAGAACAAGAATACTGAAAAAAAATTTTTGAAAAGGAAAAAAAATGAGAGAATTTGATTAAGCTTGTTTTTTAATATTGAAAAACTTATAATTTTTTTGACTAAATTTATGTTGAAAATGATAAACTTGTTGTAAAAAATAATCACTACAAAGTTTTGAGTTCAACCTCTAACACGGTTAGTTGGTTATATGGATTTCCCGTCATAGAGTGTAGCTTATTTAATAAGTATCATAGGGTGTAGGATTTGATTGTGACTAATCTAGTCGTGTGTGCTGTTACAGGTATGACGGCGGATGTCACTTCTCGACCACCGCCCACCACCACCATGTGGAAGGGTACTTCTTCGGGAACCTGAAAAAGAACGTAGATTAGTTCTGGTCTTACAGACCTGTGAGTGTGACCGCAGAGTCCAAGGGACAACAGTCTTTTGATGGGGAGTTTGTATAGCGGCCTTACCATCGGAGACGGAAACCGTCAGGTAAGGTGGGTTGTGACATTTTTAGGATCGAACGTTTTCTAATCCCTTCGTTCCTTGTGAGAAGGCAGCATCGCTGCAGATGTTGTTTTTTCGAAGAAAACACCCTACTGCTGTCACACCACCCTACAGTCAGCAGTACGACTTCACCACCAGATCTTGAGTGGCTGCTTTTAGTCTTACAGTTCTCCAGTCGACCTGCCTGGCATGGTAGAACCTAAAGCAACAGGATTGGGTCATCACGATAGTAGCTAAGTGGTGTTTAAAGCGAATGGTGCTTGGTTCGAGTCCCGGAGTAAACACTAACTCTAATATGCAATAAGCCGGTATCTAACAGTGTTCATGTCTAACTTGATCAAATAAACTATAAGTAAGAATATTATTAGTATTATTATGATGATCAACATATTTATTACCGATCATAATCCAGAACTGTATTCAATCGATGCGCAATTGTAATTACAGTACAAGTAGAAAATTCACGACGAATAGTTTCTTGAATTAAATTATCCGTTTGCATATCGATGGCAGCTGTTGCTTCATCTAATACAAGAATTGATGTATGCCGAAGTAATGCTCTTGCAAGACAAACTAATTGTCGTTGACCAAGACTAGATGGAAAAGAAAACAAGAAGAGAGAGAGAGAGAATTTATTAAAATGACGAAGTTCCAAGTATTATCTAATCAATCAGAAGTGTTTATCCAATTAGTGCAGACACAGAGAGAGTCTTTTTACAAATCATTGATTCACATAAACTCAGTAATCAATATTAGTTTACAATGTTAGATGTTGAACCCTGAACATAGTAGACGAGAACAATTATTGACATTTAAAATGAAAGGATTTCACGTGGTTTCTATAGAGAGCTAACCAGAAGTGACCGAACGACAAGTTCAGTTGATTAATCATCAGAAATGTTCTAAAGGACAGTTGCGTATCATTGGTCAAGAAAGTCAGTTGTTGTACAAAGGGGAGGAATAGATGTACAATTTTTTTCAATTAGAGTTATGGAGATTAGTGTTTTTACACATTTGAAATCATCAACCAATCATTGTTAGACCAACATTAGAAACCTGGAAGCACTGGACGACCGTTTCGTCCTGGTATGGGACTCATCAGCGGCAGTGCACATCCACGACTCCTGCACCTGGCAGGATTCGAACTCGGGACCTTCGGTATTGTGCGCGAACGCCTAACCATTGGACCACTGGGCCGGCATCCAATGGTGTTAATGTCTAACTCTGATTGATCTAGGGATTTTGCGCGACTTCACTCATTTGTCTTTGGTAGTTACTGTCTACGCCCAACAGAGTTGAACTCCACTGGTCACGTCTTCTCACTAGAACTCCTAGAATTTTCTCACGAAACTAGTCACTAGTGGGCACATGTTACGATATTCTCAATTGTGACCAACTAAACTTTGTTTAACTTCTGCCCTCTCACTCAAGTAATCAGTTCAAACCTCGAACAACGCCTATTAGGACGATTTCAAAAGAAAACTCTTTGAAACAGCTTTGAGATTATGGTTCTCCGACTGATTTGTGCTTATCGAAAGATAATAAGAAAAACATTTAATGTAAAATCATTAATCATAATATTAAGGATTTGCAACTTGAAAACAAATATATATATATATATATATATATATATATATATATATATATATCAAGGAAGCCCACAATCGCTTTGAAAAGTGCAATTGTGTACAGATATAATTTCGTAGACTGAAGTGTTTAGTAGCGAATTATATCACAAAAAGGAATGATTTGAAGCTGTTTCAATGAATAATTTTAATTCAATTTTACGACAGAGAAGATTATGATTTAGTTGTATAACCAGTGGAATTCCATCGTGTTGAGTGTGATACAGTTACTCACCGAAGACAGTACAGAGGATGGTTGAACTATTTTGTGAATTTATTTAAATTACACAAACCTGTTGGGGATGTTAGATCCCCAGAACTCGCTTGATAAGTGCCTTATTTTGGATTTCGCGTTTGCGAGCATGGGCTGAGCAGTTGACCTTGAGATTTCAATTCCCACCAGGAATATCTTTGGCTGTGATTGGCTGCTGTGTATTTTAGTGTGTTGTTTTTGTGACTGTCCCAAGGACGTTTCTATGAAGTATAAATAAACGAGAGTTGTATGCTTGATTGTACTGTGATTGCTGGGTGTTGGTAGTATATACTTTCTACGGCTACAAATCCCTCTTAGCCTAGTTTGGGATTCAAGGTAGCCTACCTGGACGCTGGTAAAAGTCTCGTTCGCGTTTATCGACTAAAGTAAACTCGTAACAGCCTGAAGCATACTTAATGACGAACTTATAAGTGGCGACGGTGCTTTTGGAAATATGGGTCCTGCCAAACTTGAATTATTACTTGAGCGGCAGCTGAAACTGACGCAGATGTTAATAGACATGAAGATTTCCCCTTCCACACAGCCCAGCTCATCTAATGCAACCACAGCTCCATCGGTCGACAGCATCGCGAATAGCATTGCTGAATTTCATTATGATCCTGACGCCAATGTTACTTCTGACATGTGGTTCCGGCGTTATGAAGTTTTATTTAAATATGATTTCGTCAACCAAGATAATGCTTGGAAGGTTCGGTTGCTACTTCGAAAGTTGGGTGCAAGTGAGCTGGATAAGTACTGCAATTTGATCCTGCCTTTGCACCCTCGTTCGCGTTTATCGATTAAGGTAAACTCGTAATAGCCTCAAGCATACTTAGTGACGAACAAAATAAACCCCACTATCGGATGTTGCCTCAGTGGTCATTAGTTTAAGTGTCCATCGTCAGGATTATGGATGTGCACTGCTGATGCGTCCCGTGCTTGAATAAAACGGCCTTCCATAGCTCCCAAGTTTTTAATGGTAGTCTAACAATGACTGATTCATGAATACAGTCAAACTGAACAATCGTCACAACCCTTTACTGACAGTTGAAATTCATTAGTCAATGGTAAGGAAATGCTATTATATCTGTATTCCATCATAATAACTTATTTACTGGTTAGAATTGGAACTAAATCTCACGAAGCAATGTTCGACATCATGAAACAACCATAGTTAAACAAACCATGATCAGCAAAAGATTGTCGATATTCATTTTATTTTATTATGAGACTGTTTTAACAGTGTGCATCGACAATTCCGTCGAAAATGACACCAGAGTTCTTCAGGTTTCATAGACAATCCGTAAAACCGTTAGATAATTAAGTCAGCAATCACGGTTTTACACATGTCTAACTTCAACAGATTCTTGATACTGCACAATTATCTTCTAGTACCATTTGTTCATGGCTTTTCATGCGAAAACATCAGGAGTTAATTTCCTCTCCCAATTAATTACTAATAAGCACACTCCCAGTGGAACAAATTTGTGGAGATAGTTGAAATTCTAGTTTATACTAAGAAATAACTTCGGCTAAACTAGAAACTACCAGATGAATGTATCTTTTTAATGTTAGTTATGTCCATAACTAACCAATCAAATCCTGACTTAAGCGCTCAACACGTTGGTCTAGTCTGATGTGTTTGTAAACTATCTATCTCTGTTGTATGTGACCTACCAAATGAAAGACACTATTATCCTATTATATTAATATGACTCATAATTTTATTCATTTCGATAAGACACGCAATATTGGTCGGTATGTTTGTTCGTTTCACTGAATAGCTGTAATTTCGTTAATTATTGTTGTTAAAAGCCAACTTGTCCTTGTTCTGACTATAGCTTTCAGATAGACACCGTGCTCACCAGTATCGCGCGTTTACGGTGTACTTGTAGTAGTATATCTGTAGGACAAATTAAATCCTACAAGACTCTTTATCACTACTCATCTATGAATACATCAGGAATTGGGTGTCTAACTGAGGTGACCTCATGATTTATAAAGCTATAGAAAACCTAACATTTTTCACAAACTCCGCCTTATACCACTTTTAATAGTCATGTAAATTTGTTTTCATGATACTGAGTGAATTGGTGCAGTTAATGTTTAAAACTAAATAACATAGAAATCAAATCACATTCGCTAACTAACCTTATATTAGAACCACCTTCTGAAATCATTAAATCTAAACCAAAATTATCATTATTAGCATTATTCATATCTTTGATAAATGATTTCAAGTTGGCTAATTCCAGTGCATGCCAAATAGCATCATCTGTATACTGCTTGAATGGATCCAAATTGAAACGTAATGTACCAGAGAATAGAACAGGATCCTACAATGAATAGTAATGAACACAACAACAACAACAAAAATGACCGATATCTCATGAGCGATTACAGTTTGCATAAACTCATCTACACTGTTATTATCATCCGTCAGTAATTAGATATATAGTGTTGCTAGAGTTATGACGGTTAATGATATTATTCTCCAGTTAAGTACAACACAGTGAAAAAAAATACATTTTCTTGATGCCCAAAAAAAGAAAACTGGATTAAGGGAGATTGTGAAAACTTAAAAGCTTGATTGCAGCGTCCAAATTGTAAATGCTTCACGCCAGTTACCTACAATTTTCTCGATAATTATTAGACTAATATTAGAAACCTGGAAGCATTGGATGGTCATTTCGTCCCATAGTATGGGATTCATCAGCAATACACATGAGAAGCCACTAAAGACAATTGGGGGGGGGGGGGGTAAGCTTGTGCAGTACACTGGCTTGATCAAAACTTAGACATTAAACAGCATCAGATGCCACCAACTCAGCGGTCTATAGGATAAGCGTTCGCACGCAAAAAACTGAAGCTTCTGGGTTGGATTCCCTCTCGTATGCAGAACTCATGAATGTGCATTGTAGATGAGTTGCATTCAGTGTTTACAAATGGTCATCATTTCAATAAAACTCAACAATCTTCAACCATTTTGTGCAATAAAACACAAGTAAATAAATGCTAATTAAACAATTCACATAACATCTGGAGTGATAAGATTTAAAACAAAATAATTTTGACGAGAAAAACAAAAAAAATAAAAAATAAAACAAGAACCGACAATTCGATTGTGTTTTTTGACATTGTTCTGTTTTTTTTTATGTTTGTTTAGTGAAGAGGATGATGATAGAAAGATAAACTCATCATCATCAAGTTAAATAAAAGAAGCGAATTGTTTTTGTATATAAACATGATGTTAGACAGTGAGTTGTTTATGAATAGAAAATATTGAATTGATGAAATAAATAAATATTTAAATCACAATTAGAAAGATTCATAGATTTTTGTCAATTTAGTAAAATTTTCATGATTTCAATTATTGTTTAATGAAAAATCATACAGTTTACACCCTAGTGACTAACTTCGTGAGGAAATTCTCAAAGTTCTAGTGAGAGGACGTGATCAATGGAGTTCAAGCCTATCGGGTGTAGGCAGTTACCTACCCAAGACAAATGGATGAGGTCTCTCAAAATCCCTAGATTGGTTACGGCTATTAGACATTATTACCGTTGGATGCCGATCCAGTGGCCCAGAAGTTAAGCGTTCGCGCGCAAGACTGAAGGTGATGGGGTTCGAATCCTGTGCGTAGCGGGAGTAGTGGATGCGCACTGCTGATGAGTGGTCCCATACCAGGACGAAACGGCCGTACAGTGCTTGCAGGTTTCTAATGGTGCTCAAGCAATGATTGATTCATGATTACAGTATTTTCAGAAATATTTATCTATTTGTAATGTGATGACTAAGAGTAAGTTGAATTCAAATCATAAATACCATTCTTTCGTTCGATCGAAAACTTATCAGTAGATTTAGTAGAACAAGTGTATGTTAAGCTTTGCATTGATTTATATATAACATGAAGTTCAAATCGATACATTGAACATGAAGACTAAAGTTGCTCAATCTAAATTCCAGTATTAATCACTAGCAGTGTTGCGCAAGACCGTCGATCGATCGAAGTGAGGCATCATTACCATTAAATTACAGGCTCAGTGATCCAAAGGTTAGGCTTTTGTGTGCAAGACTGAAGATCCTGGCTTCGAATCCTGCCAGTAACAGGAGTAATGGGTGCGCACTGCTGATGATTAGTCCCTAACCAGGACGAAACGGCCATACAGCACTTCCAGGTTTCTAGTGGTAGTCTAACAATGATCGATTTATGATTTAAAAAAGTAACTTATCGTTTACTATCTTCCATGAGTTTCAATTTCATACAACATCACACATAAAAAAGTAATGATTTTTCTCATTTCTTGTCGTTTAACAGCAGTTCATATATATATGTCATACTTACTTGTGGTATTAAAGTTAAACGATTTCTCAAATCATGCAGGCCAAGTTTTGAAATATCGAAACCATCAATTAGTATTTTACCTTCAGCTGCTTCAAGCATACGAAATAATCCTAGGACTAAAGATGATTTACCAGAACCAGTACGACCAACAATACCTAACTAAATATGAAAAAAAAAATAATTCAAGTTTGATTATCAATTTGATATATATATATATATATATATATATATATATATATATATATATATATATATATATAACAAAGTTTAATAAACAGATCTCTTTTCAATAGATTTATTATCGAGATGTACAATCATATACTTTGCAAGTTTTTCAGTAAAAGGTTGTGGAGATTGTTGAGTTTCATTGAAATCATGAACTGATCAACGTTAAACCACCATCAGACACCTGGAATCACTCAATAGCTGTTTCGTTCTATAGTATAAGACTCATTAGCGGTGTGCATCCACGATCCCCGGCAAGCAAGAATCGAACTAAGGAGTTTCCGTTTCGCGCACGAACACTTAAACGTCTAGATCAGTGAGTGGACATTCGATGGTGTTGATGTTTCACCTCAATCAATCCACAATATTAAGCGACATCATTCATCCATTGGCATTTGTCGGCACTGCTTCACACCCGACACAATTAAACTTCACTAGTCACAACTTCTCAATAGTATTCGGGGGAAATTTCCTCACGGAGCTAGTCACTAGTGAGCACATGCTAATAATTAATTATACGATTGTACAGCATGAAAATAAATTCGTTGGAAAGAGATCAATTTATTTATTTATACCTACTATCAGTGAGTTTAATGAAATATGTTTACTAATTGATTGTTCTCAAAATATAAAAGAAAAATTGAACAAGTATTTGAAGCCACATAATCTAACAGTTGATATATTTTTTTTTAAGGATTACAATTATTTAAGAACAACACTTTAATCTAAACAAATAAAAAACAAGTTAACTAATAAGAAAATTTTTAATGATAACTATTTTCAACTGAAATAGTAATGATGATATTGTTTATAAATGAACAAACTTCACTTGAAACATTGAACTAATATTGAAATGAATAAAATCTATTATTATTATTATTAATAATATGATTATTATAATTATAATTATATCTATCATTAGAATATTCGTTTTAGTTTAAGCACCCCAAGGCAATTGCATAGCTTATGTACAAATCAATTATTTGTGTTACGCTGAGAATCGGAGAAAAACATTTTTTTTCAAAAATGAACAGCAATTAGAAAGAACTGGGGAAGAAGATCCAGGACAGAGTAGGTTGAAGAATACTGGTTGGTGGCCTATGCTCCACTAGGAGTAATAGGCGTAAATAAGTAATATATATATAACTTGTTGAGTTATTATATCTAATGTTCATGTTTGTAAATAAATTCACTGAAATCAAAACTGCGGAAGGCAATCAGATGGTTAAAACAGCATCTTCAAACATGCCATCTAAAATCTACACCACTAAAATGACACTCATAAATAAGGAATCCGAAAGAATTCACTTTTAACAAACAAATTACACTATTGTCTGTTTAAGGGGAGAAGTATAAAGGAACTACCAACAAAGAAAGGTATAATTAACCAATGCTCTATGGTAACAGGAGTGGACCGTCTACCAGGAGATACGCTTGTTGACTTAGTATATGCCGATGACATAGTTCTATTCGGTGAAGACACTGACAAAATACAGAGTCTTCTGACTACCCTGAGCAACAATGCAAACATGTTCGGGATGCGGTTCTCTCCCTCGAAATGCAAAATGTTGCTTCAACACTGGGTTGCATATTTACCTGAACTAGTGGTCGGGAGTGAAGTAGTTGAACGTGTGGACCGCTTCACTTATCTTAGGAGTCTCATCATTGCTGATAGCCTGGCAACTGATGAATTCTCAGTGTGGATAGCGAAGGTTCGACTGGCTTTTGCTAAATTGCGTCACTTATGACGAAAGTGAGATAACCGTTTGCTGACTATAGGATGAGTGTACTGTGCAGTAGTTCGCTCCGTCTTACTTTATGTCTGTGAAACATGACCAGTAAGAGTAGAAGATATTCGTAGATTACTGGTTTTCGATCATAGGTGTCTTCGAAACATTGCTCGTATGCCGTGGGACACCCGAGTGAGCAACGCTGTTGTTAGGAAACGGGTGCTAGGTAAGAATGGCAGATCAATAGATGAAGTGGTGAAACTTCATCAGTTGAGGTGGTTGGGACATGTGTTGCGTATGCCCAACCACCGACTGCCTCGTCGAGCTTTGTTTTGTAGTGTAGGAATAGGTTGGAAGAAAGTTAGGGGCGGCCAAACCAAAACATGGCAGAAATCTATGAAGTCATTGACGAGTGGACTTAGACATGTCGGTAATTGTCGACTACCTGGTTGGGGTCCGCGAGATGATAATAATCGATGGTTAGAGACCTTGAATGAAATGGCTCACAATCTTTTGCAATGGTGCAACTGAATCCATTCATTGTGTTCTCTCAAATCCTAGTCTTCTGGATTCGTCAACTTCTTCTACTCTTGACTTTCTAAACTTATCTCACTGAATCATACTTCTTGAATAATAATATTTTCTAATCCTAACCTCTCCGATTACTTCTAATTCCCTTACTACCTCTTCTACTATTGGATTTGGATTGACAATTACATCTCTGTGCTGATGTGGTGTGGTGACATGAACTGATGTACTTACGTACGTATGAACAGATCAGTGAATATAGGACAAACAGACAAAAACAGATATTAATCCAATCAAATAAGCATGACAAGTGTATATATGAAGCTTGGAATGATTTCAATTTATCGCCTTGAATAAATTAATGCATTTTACGATTTGTACTGAAGATACATGATTTCATTAATAATAGTACAATGTTGACAATTTTTTCAATTTGTGAAATTATTTACAAATAGGATTCATAAAATGGAATTGTGTAATAATTTATTAAAAACTTCAAATTTATTTGCAGAAGGCAACGATAACGTCAGCTAGAATACACAATATGAGCACTAGAGTTAAATTATCGAGTTCATATTACAACTTAGGTACATACATCAATTAAAAGTGTATATATATACAATTATCAAAAATGTAAAGTACAGAACAAAGCTCCACCTGCAATTCCTCTGAGATTACTGCTGGTCCCCATTCTGGCAAAAGTAGTAGGGAAGGCGGTTAGAGCGACCTCCTCATCCAGTAAAGAAAATTAAAAAAAGCTAACCAGACGAAAACAAAAGTACAGAAGAATATAGAAAAAAAAAATTTACTTACTTTTTCACCTTTCCCTACTTTAAAATTAATTGATTTCAAAGCTAAATCCAATTCAGGTCGATATCTTGTACTATAATTGATAAATTCAATTTCACCTTCAGGCCAATTATTTGGTAAATAACTACAATCCAATTCCCATGGTGCCTTGATATTGCATAAAAAAAAAGAGGTAAAAAAAAAATAAATGTTTTATTTTGATAAAATAATTTCTGAACCAATAAATACAACAAGGATTGGAATAAAAAATTAATTAATTATAATTAGATTTTGTTTAAAACTCTAAGAAAAAAAAATTGTGGGAAATTGAAAAAAAAATATGATTGATTGAATTGTTTAAAAGTTGTCCTCCATATTTGTTTTTTGAAGTGAATAATTATTTTGTGGAGCATGATGATGTGACTGCAACTTGGACTAATGATTAAATATGCTATGAAAGAAATCTTCTTTTTAATTTCCATACAACATTCTCAGATAAACCTAGTTTGTGTGACGATGTTGGATAAGAAGCCGAATACAGATTCAGTTGGATGAGTTTATTGCCGGCAATCGTTGTTCATTGCAGACAGACATGAGAATGTAAAACGTATAAGCAAAGCAAAGTGGAGAAGTTGAATGAGAGACAACTCAATGCGTTCGTTATTTACAGTCAGACAAAAATTCATTTCATTCAGGTGACACTAATTTGACCTGATAAAATTATTTTGAAGA